CATGTTGAAACCAGGTAAAAACTGCAGAAATACTGGTTTTCATTGAATGCGAAAAGGCTTTGTACTTCGTGATGTGTGGGGATGCCCGGGAGGGGGGGTGGTGTGGGATAGGGTGGGGAGGGAGGGGGGCGGGGGGTTGGGGGCATAGTGACGTTAATTCGAAGAGCGCACATGCAAAAACTACTGAAGTGTACAGCATTTTTGCTGATTTTGCGTGCGTCAGGCACGTTCCACCACTACCTTCTTACTCTTAGGCTCCTGACAGCCCACCCCGCACGTTTAGGGAATATAGTTGGTAGGGTGGGGGTGGCTAGTAGTAGTAGTAGTAGTAGTAGTAGTAGTAGTAAACTAAGAGAATTGCAAGTAGAAATGGTAATAGTAATACGTAGCAGTAGCAGAGCATCAGCAGCCTCAGGAAAAGAGCAGCGTCGGCAGCAACGGCGGGGTGGTAGCGGGAGCGCAGCTGCGCTGCTAGTGGCAGCAGCGGTGGTGGCAGTGGCAATTGCAGGTGGCACGGGCAGCTGTGCTACTAAGAGTAGCAGTAGCAGCATTGGACAACCATTCCCGGCTCCTGGAGCACCGTCCTCACATAGTCCCAGTCATTGGCCCCACTTGCACTGATGCAATTCCCAGGTATCCTGGGCTGCGCTTGGGCTCTAAAGCTATCGCATTCAAAGACATTTGTCAAGATTGTTAGTAAGCCTGCACAGTTCACTCTGATGCTGTACGGGAAGTTTCTGAGGGGATGCACGGCCTCATAGGATCAACGTGAAAGAAGACTTGCTAAACAGTAATCTGTAGCAGTAGCAACTGTAGAGACAGAGCAGGCTCTACCGGCATCTAACATACCAGTCCCGTGACGAGTTGCTGTATATAATGCCGGCCCTCCCTCATTCCTAAAGATGGGATATCACAGTCGTCGGTCAAAAGCTTACAAACTGCGGCATGCGTTTGTCGATGCCTTGAAGTTTGAGATTTGCGTAACTTCGAGGAAATAGGTAGAACCAAGAGTCTGCGTGTAGGAGGCCCACTCCTTCTGATGCTCCTCTGTCACCTGGGGACAAGAATCTGCAACTGCTCTACATCCGGCTAGGTCTTCAGCTGGGCTTGTAAGAAGGCCCTAAATTGCGAGCATCCATTTTGAGACACCCGCCATCTGGAACCTGTAGATTCACGCCTGCTAGCCGCTAGCCTCTGAGCCTCTGAGCCTCTAAGCCTCTAAGCCTCTAAGCCTGATGCCCGACCTTGTGGCAGGCATGAACATCATTGAGCAGATGGGTCCCGAAGCACTGATAAGCGTTCCATGGCTTCACTGCTTCTGGGAAGCAAGCCGACAGAAGAGAGCTGTTTGGACCCGTCTCTAACTCTGTTGGAGTGCCCCAGCCCAAAACATTCCAGGAAGTGAAGCCATCCCCAGCTTTTGACGTGTCTGCACACTCCTGAGGGGTCTCTTCAGGTGTGCATGGCAATATCATGTCGTCGGGGACCACGGCATCTGGAGAGCCCTCCATGGTTACGAGCACAAAAGTTTCCTCCACTTCATCTTGGTAATCATACCACTGCGTCCACCCACGCTGCGAAAAGATGGAGCCACCTGAAGGGCAGCAATGAGCTTCACGAATTATTTGCTTCGAGCACAAGCTTCTGTTGGCCTGAGCCAGGGAAGTCCACCAGAATGGGGCAACCGGAGCTTCCGCAAGAGCTAAAGCTGGCAGGCAGATCAACACCAAAGCGTCGCCGGTATAGCACCTCAGAGAAGATCAGACTGCAATTAATGAAACATTCCTTTGCCAAAAGAGAGCATGAGCGTAGAATGCAAAGTATCAAGATGGGATGCCCGCCGCTTCTCACTGGGAGGGAGTCATGGAAATATTCCACATTTTAGAATCATGCAGGGCACATGAGCGTTAAAGCTCAGCGAGAACTCAAAGACCATAAAGAGGCCCCCAGACGGCTTTGTCCTGTTGAAGACTTCGGTGACAGCCCCAGCAGGAGAAGCCTGGCCGCGCAGCCATGTGTAAGACTTTAAATCTTGAGCAGTTGAGCAGGGATTCCCATACCCATGGGTGCTTGGGACATTCTAGCTGGATCACATAAGGCTGCAGCAGGGTACGCAGCTCAGGCTTTGCATCAACATGAAAGTCTCGCGTTCCGCTCAAGCATACTCCCACAAATGGCCACCGAATGAGAAAACCCCTTTTTGATCACAGCAAGGTCACACACAAATGATACCCATAATCTGTTGAAAAGACTAGCAGCCCTGAATCAAAACAAATAGATTTTGCTGAATGGCCCCAAGTAGCCTCTGCCAGCATCGAAGTGCCCAGAATTGTGGCCAGGAGCCAGCAGCTCCCAAGACCCGAAGAAGCCATGGCATCACGCAGTTATCGAGCTGCTTGGGAGACTGCTTAGAATGGTGGGCGTCCTTTCACTGAGGAGTCCTTCGAAGGAGGACTATTGGAGTTTGGGGTCTGTCTTAGGGGGGGGTTAATGTGCGAGTTTTGAAACAAAATCCTATTGTTGTGCTACCTTGTGCTGGCAAGGCTGCTGCCACGGATGGAAAGCTTGCAACGGGTGAGCCTCATTACTACTCCTGACAGTATACATCGTAGACTAGTCTAGAATCCTGGTATGCTCCCTGACAGGGGCCTCCATTCATTTTTTCTAATCGGAACAAGGAACCCTGTGGATGTCACGAGCCTGGAGCACCTCCACACGCTCGAGCAGAGCACCCACACGGCGGGCATTCGCCTCTGCGGCTGCCTCCGTGTTGAGGGCTCGGGAGTGGGGGAATGAATTGAAAGGACTCTACTAACATTTTTATGAGGATTATCAGAACCTGCTATGGGGATCCCTTCCCCTATTCCCAAAAACGGGTGTGTAAGTCCAGAGAAGCCTACCACTTCCACAGAACCCATCTTTAACCCCTAGCGGCCAGCTGCTCTCTTCTACGGGCTACAGGGAGCTCGAGAGGCCCGAGGCAGGCAGGCAACTGCGCTCTCTTATTCCTCTTGTTCTTGTTGTTCAGGCTTCAAGGAGCCCTACAGCTCCCCTGGAGCACTGCCCCAAGACCAGCGCAAGGTCTCAGTCTGTTCAGTACCCAAGACGATTGACACTCTCTTTCTCTCTCCCTCACCCAAAATCCCAAACAGCAGGGCATACATGCTCTACAAGATCACACAAATTGTCGCAGAGTCTGTTAGGCCCCGTAAACCTTTAACCCCAAACCCCGTGTGCAACAGGATCAAGTCACCCAATGCCTTGGTGTATTCTACCATGAAGCCACCATGAGCCATGATATACTTATAAAAGTCTCACATCTTTTTTTTTGCCTTGCAGTTTGACATAGCACCTGGACCCAGGAACAATGGCTTCAACAACATCATGCTTGAATTCAGGGACTTGTCGATCTCTCATCCAATTCAAGCCCTCATGAATTGTGGGCAAGACTCCCCAGAAGTAGTAGAACTGCTCAACCACTCCGTGGGGTTCTTCCGCACACGATAGCCGACTAGGAACAACCCTTACAGTTGTCACATGTTGTCACCACCATCACCAGGAGCACCATCCGTGTTCAGGACTACTTTTCTAAAGATGTGCTACAAGCTATTCATAAAAGAGGTCATTCTTCATCCCAAAACCAGGAAATCCAATCCTGAAGAAACCCAAGCAGGGCACTCCCAGATAAAGGCGTGGCCTGGCCCTCTTTCTTCACCAACTTCACCTGTCAGCGCAGGCTTCTGAGCTTTGAGAGGCTTGGGCTCTGGCCAGAATTTTCTGCTTTGTCCAACTTAAGCCGAGTAGTAGTAGTAGTAGTAGCAGC